CCTACAGGTTGAAATGAGAGCTGTTTAATAATGAAAATAAAATAATAATAATAACAACAATAATGATAACAACAATAATAATAACAACAATAGGAAAAAGAGAGAGGGGAATAAAACCCAAGGGAGACAAGTGATGCACAATACCTGCTGAATGATTCCCAGCCTGACCTGAGCAGCGATCTGGACCTTCTGGGTGACTCCCCACAGTTTCTATACTGAGCATGACGTGATGTGGTATGGAATAGCCCTTTGGCCAGTTTGGGTCAGGTGTCCTGCCTCTGCTTCCTCCCAACTTCCTGTGCCCCTCCTCACTGGCAGAGCATGAGACTAAAAAGTCCTTGGTTGGGGTAAGTGCTACTGAGCAACAACTAAAACATCGGTGTGTTATCAGCATTGTTCTCAGACTAAAGCTAAAACACAGCACTGCACCAGCTACTAGGAAGAAAATGAACTCTATCTGAGCCAAAGCCAGGACACTATCCTTTTGTGGACATATGACTACTAAAGTCAGCACCTATTGTATTAACAAAACATTTTGTGGAATTGTGGTGGCTTTTATTGTTCATGCAATTATTTCATCATATTACAGAGGTGAAACCTATGGCTGTAGAGCCCAGCTTAGTTAGCCTGTCAGGATGTAAACACCCAAGGTATGTTGGGTTTGCAGTGGCTAGTCTGTAGTAATGGCAAAGGTGAAGCTCTGCAGGTTGGGTTACCCTCTGGCTCTAAGCTGAATCAGTGTGTCTTCCTCTGACAGTTATTGCAGCTGAGCTGGTGGATGCCCACTTTAAACCCTACAGTATCATTGGAGTCCCTGTAATGGCTTGTGTATGGATCAGAGCTGTGAGATCTATGGATTAGCTGATAAGCTGATCTTGTTACTCGTCTCCGCTATAAACACCTTTGTTTCGTTCTACTTCTCGTATCTCTGTGCTCACCTATTTCTCCCTCAGCTTTGAACAGGTTATTGGCTTAGTATTTACAAGAGGGTTTTCCAAAAGCTTTTGTTGTCCCACTTACTGTCTAGTTTGCCTTCCGTACTGTCATCTATCAGCCTTATGCTTCCTCTGTCCTTGCTGCTGCCTCAAGTACTACTGTTTGTTTAGTTTTAAAGCTGACATTTCACCTGGCACCTCCAGAGGGGAAAAAGAGAGGCCATGGGCCATGCCTTATGTCCAAACACTTCACATCAGTGAAAAAAACCATGGCAGTGTATCAAGACAATGTGTCTCATTCACCAGACAAACATCAGGGTGCGAGACAGAAAGTGATATTGATGATTCCGAACCAACAGACTTCTGAGGCCATGTAGCATGTTTTTGTGGAAAATAAATACACAGCACTCAGAGGTGTTAAGGGTGAACTGCTTTGCCTTAAGGCAATAAAACGCTCCTGTTATGTTGCAAGTGTGTTGCTGGTACAAATTGATGGGGGACCGTGTTTAAAGCACTGCTGCTGTTCTTCGCTCTACAGTAATTGTTATCTTGTAGTGACATTTTCCTCCTGTGTCGTTGTGTATGATCCTAGAGACATTTGCAAGGCCTGACCACCCTTCTGAGCAGCATGGTATTGATTGTGGGGATGCCATAAGAGCATTTTAGTACCATTTATTGAACCTAAGACTTCTGTTGCTAAATGTCATGGCAGCAGGAGATGTTGATGTGTGCTGGAACTCTCCACCTAGAGCTAAGACAGATCATGGGGTACTGATCTGCATCACCCTAGTAAACTCTAGGTCTTGTCAGAAAATACTTATCTTTGCTTAGTTCTTCCTGCTAGAGATGAGGATACACTGGTTCATTAGGTCATTTAGGTACTGACTACCTTATTTTGAATCTGATGTGGTATGATGTGAATTTTTGTCAGATATTGTCATAGTCCTTTTTCTGGAAGGTCCAGATTTGGAGCAGGAAGTTTCAGGAAGAAAACCAAACCAAAACAAAACATTTTTTCAGTTAAAAACAACAATTTTCCAGAAATGTAGGAAAGCATGGCTCTTGTTTAACTCC